AGACTAGATACTTACTGGGTACGCATTGTTTTACGTAGTCACGCTATACTTCTACATTGAATATGCAGGTACTGAGACAGGTACTACCAGTGGTCACACGGGCGCGTAGCTGTATTTCCACGGAGACTTGGTGTGAGCTGCTTGCCTTGCTTCGATCTGCAGGACCGGAGCCTCCCTCTACCTTGTTTATTGTTTCTGTCTATTATACTTCAGATAGTAGTTGTATTAGTTTTGTATAAATTTTTAGATTGCTCATGCACTTGTGGCACCGAGTTTTGGGGGCTTCTAGAGTTTATGTACCGTGGTACTGATTATTACTATCACTATGTTTTAAATATTTATCACACTTGATACTTTTGAGAAATAAGTATGTACGGTTGCATGAGACCTTACATATTTCTACGTTTTAAAAGGAAACTTCTATTTTTTTAAAGTTAAAAAGGGATAATTAAATTGGAGGTTCACGTGTGGGCTCACCTAACAACGGCGTTAGGCGCCATCGCGACCTATTATAGGTTTTTGGTCGTGACAGTAGTCATACTTTGTTTACATGCATACATCTCTGCATGTTTATCTCTCTATTTATATTCATCATACATGTTTATCTCTTGTTTATATGCATACAACCCTACATATGGTTCTCTGATATAGAGTGAAATGGGCACGACGGGACATTTTGTCCAGTAGTTATGTTATGTAATGATTTCTGTGAGATTGATGATTGATTCTGAGATATTGATGATTGATTACGGAGCTATAATGCTCGGGTGCATGAATTTGGATCCATCCCTCCAGTGTATGTGATCACCCATCTTACCTTGAACCGAGTGTGCGTAGTGTTATTGGACATTGAGGAGGTGTTGGGTACTAGGGAGGCATCAAATTGAGGTAATGTTTGACTCTTTATCATGCATGAATATTCTAGACTCATGTAGAAGTATTTATTCACATACATACCGTTGCATATCATCTTTATGTATAGATTCGATGCCTTGATTATGATTTTGATCATTTTATCTAAAAAGCACACTTAGTATATGCGTCCTTGACTATGCACCTTATTATTTATATTAGTTGTTGCTAAGTTGTTTCTCTATTTCCTGTACATGCTTATGAATTGAGCAGGTTATAAAAAGTGAGTATCTTATGTCAAAACCTCGCCACTACTTCGTTGGGGTTAGACTTGATAATTACTAAGTATACATTATCTTTTGTTCCTTTTTTAAGCAATCCACTAGCAGTGCCTAGGGCTAGTTTTTATATATATATATATAAAGAAATTAAAAAACAAAGTGTCATGAAACCCTAAGAGATAAAGGAAATAAAATTTGTAATCTACATATAACCTATTATCAAAGTTGAGTGAGATACTCAACAATGATAGCACATGAAGTCTAATGTAGTATTTATAACTAAAAACTAACCCTTGAAGCCCATTGCATTTAGTGTCCAGGTGAGTAATCCGCTTCTTGCACAAATAGCCTCTAACAATGATGATCTCTGCCCATTTCCGCTTCTTGCACACGTAGCCACCTCACTTGCACGTATAGCCAAATTGATTTTGTTCAATAGTAGCCACTGTCCAGAATATGGTAGTTTGAGATACCTTCTTTTATTGTTGTATCATCATTTGCATTGTACTTCCATTCCATCTCCATATGAAGATGTTCCAGCAGTTCATGCGTCTATAAGAATTACAAGAGGTTCACAAAATGCTAATCAATTGCACTATCCTAAGAAGTACGAGTGCACTATTTTTAAGCTCATTTTCGCATGGCCTCCCTTGATTATCACTTGATTAAATTGCATGAATCCCTACCTGAGTTGTCCAATTACCTTGTTGCATCAAGGTTTTAACCAATTGTGTTTCCAAAGTGCCCGAAAAATGTTGCCAAAGTAGCCATAAAAAGCATGCTGCCCAGTATTGCCTAGCGCGGTGAAATGCGTGCCAAAGACTGGGCGTCGCCAGGTTCCTCGCGAGAAAGAGGTTGTGCGTTGCCAGGTCCCCAGCGAGAAGGAGCTGGTGTCTTACCTCGCGTCGCCTGGTTAATGATCTCGCTGTTGGTCCAGCTGGGCGTGGTCTACAGCAATGGAAATCACTATGCATCGCTAGGTCTCTAGCGAGATGGAGTTGGCTAAACCTTGGCGTCGCATGGGTGTTGATCTTGCTACTGGTCGAGCTGGGCGAGGTCTAAAGCGTGCTGGGGAGCTCGCTAAGCCTGCTGATGTAGCTCGCATTTGTTGTTGCACCACAAAGACCAATGCCTTGGACAGTAGGTCATGTAGCCAGGCTAGTTTCATGCTATGAATGTTCATTTGCCTCCTTAATTCCATGATTGTGCATGCCATCTTTTCTCCTTCAAGGGAATGAGCACATAGTGCTAATACCACCCATAGAAGTCGTAATAAATGGCAAGGCATGAGTACAATACCGTCTCCTACAAAAGAGAACACAAGGTTAGTAGAAAAATGATCATCATATTCTTTTCCCAAAGGATTCGAATATGATGATCCAGTGATGTCTCCCATACCCTACTAGCTCTTTCCTCCTTCCTTCTTAGTTTCTTGCTACCTTCACAAATCACACCCTCACCCTTCATGATTGCTCTATTCATATCAATTAAAATTTGGCTTGGGAGTTCTTACCTTAACATAAGGTATTTGAAGCTTGTCATTGTTTAATATTTTCCTACCTTCTGATTCCAATTCCCAGAACGATTGCACCTGAATCATATGTTCCTGATCCAATGTCAAGTTAGTTAAGTGATTTGCTAACTTAACAACCAACCGAAAGCATGGGAGAAAAAAGATGGATGAAGACAACAAAAAGGGATACTTCCCTATACTAAGTGACACCGAAGTACTCTTTATGTGGATTTGAAAGCATCAGATTGAATCAGACAGAAGGTTCACCCCTCACCTAGTCTCCCCCATTCCGAAAATATCTGTTATATCAATGACCCCAAAGGGATATTAAATGAATGGAATTGGGATATGGATGGAATATAATGAAATAGAGCCACTTTGAGGTTCCCTCTGAAATGGGGCATGTAAGGGAGCCACTACGAAGAAGTTCTGGGAGTTACGAAGGAAGCTTCGAGCTCATATCGGTCATGGGTTTTCCTTCCCTCAGCACATGCACAATCTGGAAACACCTTTAGACATAAGCGCTTTGATTTCATCCACCTGATTAGAAATTTTCCAAGGTGGTTCCCATACCTCATCTAACACTCTCTTTATCAATAATGAGTCTGTCTCAATTATACAAGGAGGAAACTGCATTTGAAGTATGTACCTGACTGCTTCCAAAATGGCCTAAGCTTCAGCAATGTTATTTGTTGCCTCCTCCACAACATCTGCCCGGGAATATATATGGTCTCCAATATCATCCCTAATGCAAAAACCATAGGAAGCTCCCCCATTGTCTCCTCTACAAGCACCATCAGTATTACATTTTATCCAACCATCTGGACGTAGCTGCCATAGTACCTTACTATATTTCAATCTAGGGAGATGATTTAGCTATTTCTCATGTAAGTCTGGCCAATTGGTAGTAACTCCTTTGAACCCTGGTCTTCTTACCTTCAAGAACATATGAATTGTGGTTGAAATCTGGAATATCAACCTATTAAAAGATACATTCTTCCCATGTTTGCCAGAATTCCTTTTCTTCCACAATGCCACACTTTTATGGATGGCATTTCTTGGTAAACTTCCTTCATACTAGAGTTTCCTAATTTAAGCCACCACTCATTTATTACTTGAACTAGTTGCTTCCCTTTAGTTCTGATCCCTACTGGAGCACCGAAGTAGTTCCATACAAATTTGGCTACTGGAGATGTCAAGAAAGCATGGGACATTGTTTGTTCTTTAGGATTCCTACAACACTAACATCTTGATGTTCTAAAGTATCCCAACCTTAAGAACCAATCATCTAATGGTAGTTTTGCCTTCCAGAGTCTCCACATGAAAAAACTAATCTTGAAAGGCACACCCTTCATCTAGAAAAATTTATATAATTTGCTTTCTGCCCTTCTCTTCCTTATAAATATCCAAGCTGACTTCACTGAGAATTTCCCTTTTGTTTCTAGATTCCACCATGGTTTATCCTTTATTTAGGAATCTAAAGATTGTGAGATCGTATCCATGTTGTGATCGGATAACTCCTCCGGCAACAATTCTCTCAAAAGACCTTCATTCCATGCACCATTTTCTATCACCTCATCAACATACTTATAAGATTTATCACACCAATGCTCTGGACTTGTTGCATGATAGAGAGCTCCCAAACCAGTCCAATTATCAAACCAAAACCAGGAATTCTCACTCTTCAATTGCCACCAAATTTGATGTTCCACCTCATCCCTCATTTGGAGCATGTTTCTCCACACTTGAGAACCTCATCTCCATGGTACTACCACTTCATTTATCATCTTACAATATTTGTTCCTCATGAAAGAACTCCATAAAGAGTCCTTAGTTCTATAGTTCCACCACAGCTTTGCAAACAAAGCCTTGGACACATCATACATTGAACTAAAACCAAGTCCTCCTTTATTTTTAGGCAGACAAAAAGTATCCCAAGAAGCCCAGTGTCTTGCCCTTACATTACCTTAATTGCTCCAAAAAAATCTAGCAAACATCTTGTGTAATTGTTTGATCACATATACTGGAGGGTTCACTGCTGAAAGAAGGTGAATTGGCATGCTCTCTAACACATGTGCAATTAATACTGCCCTACCACCAATAGAAAGTAACTTGCCCTTCCATGATGATAATCTCTCTTGTACTTTGAATAGAATGTTGTTGTAGAACTCCTTCCTTCTTCTGCAATAAAAATTGGACATCCTAGCTAAGTAAATGGGAAGGAATGTCTTTGGATTTCAGTGATAAAATGTCAGTATTCACTTCATCTACTGGTGCTCCTTCATGCATATAAAAGGAAGATTTCTCTTTGTTTATTTTCTGCCCAGAGGCTACCTCATAATCTTCCAAAACATTCATGACAAGTTGGACTGCTCCATAGTGAGAAGAATAGAATATGATTCTGCATAGGATAAGTAGTTGATGTTATGGATCCACTTTGGCATGCCAAAGCCTATGAAATCTGGATTATTTAATAATGCATCCAATGCTCTCCCAAGAACCTCTGCTGCCAGAATGAATAAAGTAGGAGATAAAGGATCTCCTTGCTTGACACCCTTGTAGATTTGAAGAATCCATTGTCCTGCCCATTCAATAGTACTGAATACCAATTGTTGGATACTAATTTGAATATCATGTTAATGAAGATCTCACCAAACCCCATCTGCCTCAACACCTTTGTCAAGAACAACCATGACACTCTATTATAAGCCTTTGCCATGTCTAATTTGATCACCACATTGGCTGGCTTCCCTCTCATCCTTATATCAGTTGTGATCTCTTGTGTAAGTAAAATATTTTCCACTATACTCCTGCCCTTAACAAATCCATCCTGATTAGGAGAGATTATAGAAGGAAGAAACTATACTAACCTCTTAATGAACTCTAGAGATGATCTTATTAGAAAAAATGCTCAAACTGATTGGTCTCATGTCTGAAAATGTTGCCACATTCTTCTTCGTTGGAAGCAATACAAGGTTTGTATGTGTGATGAATTTTGGTAATTCTGCACTATAAAAGAAAGCTCTCACCATATGAAGCAAATCTTCCCCAATAATATCCCAACTTGCCTGATAAAAATGTCCAGTGAATCCATCTGGACCACTGGCACTGTCTCCATTTAGCCCAAATACTGTTGCCTTCACCTCCTCCATGGTTGGTTCTTGCCACAATAATTCATTATGTTCAATAGACACCAACTTAGGGACGTACTGAATGATGTCAAAGTTGGTAGGAACCCTATCTTCAATGAATTGAGCTTGGAAGAATTCTACTGCCTCCCTTGCCATATCTTTTTGAGAATCAAGCCAATTCCCATTGTTATCTAAGATTCTGGATAGTAGTGGTCTTTTCCTCTTTCCCCTCACTTGAGCATGAAAATACTTGGTATTTCTGTCACTATCCCGAAACCATTGCATTCTAGCCTTTTGCCTCCAAAATTATTCCTAAAGATGATAGAACTTTGTGAGATCAGCTTCTACTTTGTGTAGTTTTGCCCTATTCTGGACTGTTGGATTCAACTCAAATTCAATTTCATGAAACTTTATGATATCCTCTAATGATGGAATTTTTTTGAAGATGTCTCCAAAAGTTTTCTTACTCCAGGCTGCCAAAGCTGACTTTACTTTCTTCAACTTAGTTTGGAACATAATGAAAGGATTCCCCATTGTATCATTTACCCAATTCTCCTTTATCACATTCAAAAAGGTCTTATGTTTAGCCCAAAAATTGAGAAACTTCAAAGGCTTCTTCACTTGGACAGTGTCAATATTACATGACAATAGAAGGGGTGCTTGATCAGATCCATATGAGATGCTCAACTTCTAAGGATGGGAACAAATCTAGGAATTCCTGATTTGCAAAGAACCTATCAAGCCTTTTGAAGATGCAATCTATATCCGACCTTCCATTCCACAAAGTATACAAACTCCCTTTGAAGCCAATATCATACAATGCACATGTATCAACACAGTGTGCAAAGTCTTCCACTTCACTCAAATACACTGGACAGCCCCCATACTTCTCCTCCTCAGATAGTATCACATTAAAATCCCCTTCAACAAGCCAAGGGGATTCCATATCTGAAGCTAAATGGTACACTGAATCCCATGGCTCAATTCATTCAATAGCATCACATTTAGCATATACAAGAGTCACGTAAATCTCCTTGTTCAAATTCCTATGAAACAACTTAAAGTCATTTGTTTTTCCATGTTCATAACAATATCTACAATAATATCTTCATCTACAAAAGCCCAGATTTTTCCATTCATATTTGCATAAGCAGAATGTATCCCCAACTTTTGTGTATATTCCTCCAGTTTGCTAATGTCTTGCCAAGGTTCCATCAAACCTATTAAATAGAAATTGTACTTTCTGTGTAGGTTAAGTAACCTACTGAAATCCTTTTGAGTATTAATCAACCTCACATTCCATACTAAAGCATTGTCCATAAGATTATTTGGAAGTAGAGATCACACTTCTCTTTGGTTGCACCCTTATAGGCACACTATCTTTGATGTCCTTCTTCTGCCTCTTTGTAGGTTTTGTTAATGATTTCTTCTTGTCCACACTTCTGGGGATATGTCACCATCTCTTACTTCTTGTTGGAAGTTAGCAATAGTAGATTCTTCTTCAATATCCTCCCCCAAATCTTCCTCATCTCCTTGTGCATCCTCAACCACTTGTAGTACTAAAGGGTTTGGTTCATGATTTTTGGCTATCATTCCCAATTCCCTTTGCCCCTTATTGTTGAGCAGTATGCCTTTGGCTAAAATTCCACTAGTGACACTGAAAATTTTCCCAGCTAGTATGCCAGGATCATCAATAGCAGTAGTAGATAATTGCATAGCAAGTTACTTTGTCCAGATTCCATGTTGCTACCAATAGGAGCCAGTTCCACTAGATCAACTGACTTCCTAGTAGCCTCCTTCATCACTTCAGCATTCTCCCTAGCCTTCGTTGCTTCTTGTATATCCTTGAACTGCAAATTATAAACATCTCCCAAACTAGGGTTTACTGTAGCAGTAAACCCCGAAATTATTGTTCCATTGCCTTGAGCCATCACCCCAGCAGATATTTGGTTAGGAGACCTCACTGTATGATGTAGCACTTCAATCTAATCATTCTCATGTTGAACCTCAGCTTGAACCTCCACCTGATCACTGCCAATAATAGCCAAAGCCTGAGCAGCACCACTAGGGTTTACTATTTCATTACTGATTTTCTTAGCTGACATCTTACTCTTCGAACCACCGATGTAACCAGCTCCTTTTTGTGATCCTTGAGTTGTTCCCATCATTAGAATAGTTGTAAGTTTTGCATCCCCTTCCTTATCGTCAACCCTAGTTTTTGTACTTCTAGTGTTTATTGTAGGGTTAGGTCTTAAACAATCTGCTAAAGCTTCCTCCTTGTGCTATCTCTCTCCTTTGGTTTTGGGACTCAACTTTGCATCACTAGCCTTCTCCATGATTTCTACTTCATCACTCCATATATTTGTGCCAGAACTAACCTCCAAATTGACCCCCATATCCTTTTAATCTTCATAAGTTGGCGATGGAACTTCCTGACAAGAATGATTAAGCGTTACATTCATCTGCCTCAATTCTTCTTTATTTGTGCCAAATCTTCTGTGAACCCACTAGATAGTGGATTCCTTCTTGTTCAAATCTTCATTCCCAGCTAGGTTAGGATTAGGAATAGGACTGTCTTTAGCCGGAATTTTATTTGTATCCTTACGCGGAGAGGTTTTCCCATTAGAAGTAGGATTCACTTCGTTTTCCTTGCAGTGCTCCTTATATAACACCTTTTTCTACTACCTCATTCTTGATTTGTTTATGAAATTCCTTTTCTCCTTCCTCCAATAAGGCAAATTTGTTACTAGTTGTCACATCATCATTAATATTTTCCTTTCTAGCAATTTCTCCCTTCCCTGTAGCCTTCTTTCCTTTTGATTCTTTATTTTCCTCTTGTTGCACATTTTTCTTCACACGACTATCACGAACCTCCTTCCATTGTTCACTATATTTCCCCACAACTTTACCACTTGAAAAGATCATGAGAGGTTGACTCACATTGTTTTTCTTCTTCTTCCCATTTTAATCAACAATTTCACCACCTTGTACCTCATGAACGACTGCCTTGGCATTGTCATTGCTCTCCATCAGTTCTGGATGAATACACCAACATTCAATTTTATCATGGCCTTGTAACTTACATTCCTTAAAATACTTAGGGATCATATCATATTTAATATTCACCCACTCAGTCCTTATTTCTCCGTCGATTCATTCTCAATATCCATCGTCACTTTCTTAGGATGATCAGCTAACAAATCAACCAAGACTTTAACCCTTGCACAACTAGGTCTAGTCTTGTTAATTGTAGCCATATCTGGGTTTCTCTATTGTTGAAGTAAGAGAGAACAAACATTCCTTGACAAAATAGGTTGGTAACAAACTTGGAAACGAAATCCATGCCATAGTCATAGGAGTTTCTTCCTGTCACGACCCAAGTTCTCCCTCCATGAACTGTCGTGACGGCACCTAGTCTCTACGGTTAGGTAAGCCTAACAATTTGCGAAAATGAAATAAGATATGAAAACTAACAATTAACAAGTAACTATAATAAAGGAGTTTAAAATGACGCTCAGCATATACAATAAAACACTCACGATCTGAACAGAAGCACTCCCAAAACCCGAAATCTCATGAATCACAAGCTATAAAAATACATAGTGTTTCTAACTCCAGAAATCTATCAACAAAGAAATACAGAAAGTCTATAACTGAAGGAGGAATAGAGAGGGACTTCTACGTCTGCGGACGCGGCAGATATACCTCGAAGTCTCTAAGATCACCTCGCACTCACTGAAAGTATGGCTGAGAAGAAGTACCTGGATCTGCACACAAAAAATATGTGTAGGAAAGGGCATGAGTACACCACAGCGGTACCCAGTAAGTGCCAAGCCTAACCTTAGTCGAGTAGTGACGAGATCAGGTCAGGGCCCTACTAGTTTGTACATATAATAAGATAAAATAGTATGAAATATCGTTGTAGAGTTAAAATGCTAATAGTTAATGAAAAATGAAATCACAAGAAGAAATAATTCAGTACGCAGCGATAGCAACAGGGAATCTCCCAGGATACCGTCCCGTAGTCCCAAACGTAAATGTACAGAGGATCTCACGGGATACCGTCCCATAGTCCAAATCGTAAATGTGCAGGGGGATCTCCCGAAATACTGTTCCGTAGTCCCAAAGTAAATATCCAGTAGAGGGGGATCTCCCAGGATACCGTCCTGTAATCCCAAACATGTTTACAGGGAGATCTCCCGGAATACCTTTCTGTAGTACCAAAATAAATACACAACCCATTCAATATACACAACAGTTCTAGCTAGGAAAAATCTACAGTTCTAATCAAGTTCGTAGCAAAGAAGACAAGTAATTCTTATTCTAAACATGCTACACAAAATCAAGGTAGACAGTTAATGATGATAAGACAGTTAAGGAACACAAGCATGCTTTCCTAAGCTAAACAGGAGGCTACATATACTAGTATTGCTCAATTAAAGGAAGACAGTTAATTACTTAATGAAAATAGAGTTTTTCAACAATTAGCACGTGTACGCACTCGTCACTTCACATACATGGCATTCATATAACATCAGTACCAAAATCTTAAGGGGAGTTCCCCCATACAAGGTTAGGCAAGCCACTAACCTCGAACCAAGCTCAAACCAACTCGAAATCACGCTCTTGCCACGAGTATCCAACTCTTAGTGGCCCAAATCTAATCAAATCAATTACATAACATAAATATAACTACAAGCAACTAATAGCTAATGAAATTAAAGCTAAGTCAAGAAAATGGAAAAACGCCCAAAAATCCTCCCCGGGCCCACGTCTCGAAATTGCGTAAAAACCACAAATTACTAACACCCATTCACTCACGAGTTCACTCGTACAAAAATATCCCAATACGACGTCAAATTCCTATTCAAACTTCAGATTTTCAATTGGGGAACTTTTTCCCCCATTTCCAAACTTCCACCCTCAAATTCCTTAATTAAATAAGGAAAACAACAATAGATTTATGTATATGATCCAAAATAGAGTTAGAATTCGTTACCCAATAGTTCTCCTTCAAAATCCCTCAAGAAATCGCCTCCCACCAAGCTCCAAACCAAATTTTGTGATATGAAATTTCAAACCCTCGAAACAATCTTTTCTGCCCAGCGATTTCCGCATCTGCGTTCATGGGACCGCAGCTGTGGTCCCGCACCTGCGTAAAAAACATCGCAGGTGCGAAAGTCACTTATCCGGGCTGGGATCGCATCTGCGGTCTTTGGGCCGCATCTGCGGTCTCTGGGCCGCATCTACGGTCCTCCAGTCGCACCTGCAGTTCCTGTTGCCTT